TGTGTGGGGCATTAGGGGGTGACCAGGCTGGCAGGGAGGCATTTTAGGGGCAACCAGGCCAGCAGAGAGGGGCTGTTGGGGGTGCCCACACTGGCATGGGGGTTAGTAAGGGGCAACCATGCTGGTGGGAGGGGGGCAGTTAGGGGCAACCAGGCCGGTGGGGGGGGGACAGTTGGGGCGACCAGGTTGGCAGAGGGTGCAGATGGGGGTGACCAGGCCGGCAGGCAGAGGTGATTAGGGGTGATCAGGCTGGCAGGGGGGCCAGTAGGGGTGATCAGGCAGGCAGGCAAGTGAGCAGTTAGGAGCCAGCGGTCCTGAATTGTGAGAGGGATGTCTGATTGCCGATTTAGGCCCGATCCTCAGGGGTCCCGGATTGGAGAGGGTGCAGGCTGAGCTGAGGGGACCCCACCTCCCATGCACGAATTTCGTGCACCGGGCCTCTAGTAATTCTATAATAAAAGAATACTGCACTTAAAATAGAAACAGAAAGACCCAATTGGAGGATACACCTACTGGAAAATCATATATTACGTACAAATACCACTAAGCTTTTAAAAGATGAAGAGGAAACTATTTAAAAATTCAAAAATCTACCATTCTATGTAAATGGACTTTAAAGTTTCATTCAGAGTATGAACATAAGGTTATATAATAATTATTTAATAAGGGAATATTATTTATGTATTCCGATACCTTACTTTATATACCAGCTATCTATGGATAAAAATTAAATATTTTTATTCATTTTGATTGTACTTAAATACTTAGGTTTAAACTAGATGATATATGATTTAGATTTTAAAGACTAAATGAAGCGATGACTCCCCAGTCATTTACTACATGCGCCACAGCAGGCACTGAGTGACATTCCACATCAGCAGTGGCAAGTAACTAGGAATGGAAGCCTCTATGCAGCCTGGTCAGAAACAGAAAGTACAGCTGTGATGGCAGGTAATACACACCCTCGAACAGAGAGGATCAATCCACCTGCTATGTAATTAAATAGTTCTTCACTTCATCAATGGTGTATATCCATGCAGTCATCAAAATAAGAAATAAACAAAAACTCTAGATACCAAAAATGCCCTGGATTCCAAGTATTCCCAGTCACTATTCCTGGGAGGAGAACAAAAACAAAATTCCTCTACTTCTAAAACAATCAGATTGATATAACAGAGGCTTAGAAATTCATGTAAACAGAGCACAAAGGGCAATTATTTCATCAACAAGAGGATGGCCACAGAGCTTAAGAAAAAATTCCACCTTCTCAGTAAAACCTTCCCTGACCACCCCTTTTAACTAATATCCCAAAAATTCTCTAGTTCCTTTCTCTCTTTTATTTTCCTCCATAGCACATGCCATGATCTAATAAATTGTATGCTTTACTTTATATATTTGTTCATATAACTGTTTATTAACCTTCTGCTTCCTTCACTAGAATGTAAGTTTAGGAAGGCATGAGCTTTTCTGTTTGTATCTAGCTACATTCCCAATGCCTAAAGGAGAGGTGGCATATTGTAGGCATTCTGTAAATAAAGGAATGAACAAACTTTTGGAATAAGTAATCTTATCAAGCATCACCAGTGACTTTCTTTAGATAAAAGGTATTTAACTAAACAATGCATCCTATAACTGGTTATAACTTGCCTGGTTCAGAAAATATATATTGAATATTAAACTAGTACATAATTATAAAGAATTTTAAAAGAGCTACACATGCTAAGAAATAAAATTATGTAATTGTACCTTTATTAGTAGTAATTAAGTATGCAGAAAGAGAGATATGAAGTGTAACAGAATCACTTTAGCTTCAATTGCATGAAATGTCCTGAGTAAAGAAATTACAGTGACAGCAGGTATGACTGAAGCCACAGAGGAAAGGAAGAGGATGAGAGAAAGTGGAAAACCAAATCTAGGTAATTCCAATTTACCTAAAACCATTATAGGAAAACAGAGGAATGACTCAGTTAAAGTGGCTTTAAAAAAAAAAAAAAAAGGAAAATAGTGATAAGAAAAAAGAAAAAATTAAAAAGCAAAGTTGTCAGTGTGTAATAAAAATGAGGCCATGGAGGTTTCTAGTCATGCATTTACCAAAGAGTACATCTAAACATGCACAAATAAAAATGCCTCTTGAAGTCAGTGAGGCTTTAATGGAGCCCAGAATGCTATGGAAAAGGACAGCTGTTTATCTTAGCTCTGGACTTCCCAGTAGGGGCCGAGCACTGTTTCTTTTTACTATTTGACTAAATCCCGTTACCAAGAAATTCAGTCAATTTTTTAAGGAATGAAATGTTGGTAATTTAAATTCCACAGTAATCACTTTAAAACTGGAAAAGTACTTTTTTTCAGAAGATAAAAATGTGGTTTTTTAATTATAACATTTAAAATATTTTAAGGGGCTATAAATTAAGATAACCATGAATAAGCCATGTTACTTAAACATCCCGAAATGTTAACTTAAAAAATATGAGAACATTAGAAAATTCAAGGTAATGAAACTGAATTATGTAATGGTACTAATGATTAAGGAGTAAGGGTAGTATTTGAGCTGGTTATTGGCTAGTATCATATCAATTTGACACAGAACTCTGACTTTGCAATTGGTAACTATAACTTACTTGTATAACGTTAATGATAATTTCCATTAGCAAAATTTCTATATAATGAGTAAAATATTTTTTTCTTCATTAACTGAAGTTTGGAAATGGCTGTTCCAAGTCCATTTTTCTTCAAACAATAGTAATTCATTAAGCCGAGCTTTCATTAGGAATACATACTTATAAAGGTCATTCCAGTGTACCACCTCACTTCAAATAAGTAAGTAATAATAAATTATATCAATAAGTGGGAAAGGGTACAGAAGGGTGGTCCTTCTAATTATATTATCATTTTCAAAAAAGGATGGAAATCAGTCTTATTTTTTGGGGAGGGAGTATTAGTGTTTCTTACCTACATATATCTTATTATATTTTTCAATTACAGTTTACATTCAACATTATTTTGCATTAGTTTCAGGCATACAGCCTACTGGCCAATCATACATCTTACCAAGTGCTCCCCTCTGTCACTTCAAGTACCACCAGGCACCACACACAATTATTACAATATCACTGGCTATATGCCCCATGTTGTACCTAATATCCCGTGTCTATTTTGTAGTATACCTCATCTCATTGTGCACAATACTTCTGAAGATTTTTACTTTTTAAGAACTATTGTACACAATGAGATAAGGAATACTAACAGGAACTTAGTATCATCTTTATCAATATCAAAACACTGGGACCTTAATATTTAAACTTATCACAGTTAACCTAAAACAAAAATCTCCTTCTGAATTGAAAACTATTTTATTTGGAAGTATGAACATTTTAAAAAATTGGACTTACTGGTATAGATATTTTTTTCAAATTACAGTCCTTTTCCAGAAGCTCATATACATACTTTGTGATGATCTAGGTAGGAAAGAAATAACACATTAAGATGCAATGTTGTTCATTATCAAATTCATATAAATTATTATCATTTATTGTTCTGAATGAGTATCTATTTTGGAATGTTCTTATACTAAATTAAGAGACTCTTTACTGATTACTTGTAATAGTTTATTTCCTGTTTCTGTGTGAATAACTATGAACCTTAATACTATGGATTAGGACTAGTTAATATAAACTCATAAATAAGGACTTCCTATTTTTCAAAACAATACTCTGTGAGCATTGTTCCCCCCAGTTATTTCTGGAATCTGTTTTCCCTATAATTTACTTACAGATATTATATCTAATACTAGTAGCCCAGTGCACGAAATTCGTGCACATTAAAAGGGAATTAATTAGTGGAAATATTTTAATATTGCTATTTGCCCTTTCTCTATAATAGAAGTGTGAGAGATGAAAGGAAATTAGTAAAATGTATATGAAAATAATATATAATTTTATTAATAAATAAACAGTAACAAAAGGATATAACAACAACAGAGGCATGATATAAAAACAACAAAAACATGATATAAAAACAAGTGATGCAATGACTGATAAAGTGATTAAACTTATTCTAATGTCTCCCTGTACACCACACTGAGAGTGAAAACACTTTCAGAGGGCTTGACTAATTTCCCTTGTGATGAAGTATTTAGAACTTTAACTGTAACGTCACATGCTCTTCAAACTCAAGAGAAAGCAACATATAACTGACCATGTGCGAAAACGGGTTCAGGTAGGAATATTCCTACCCTGTCTAGAGTTTGTCCTTGTGATTAATTAATAGTCATCACAAATGCTGGCATCACGGGAAACCATCGTCGAATCAATTTAAATGGGAGGCCAGTGTCAGATGGGGACAAATCAATTCTTGGAATCAGAACAACCTCTCCCTCTGCAGATTCTGTCAATACTTCAGCTTTGATAATGTTAGGTCGTAATCTTTTGATAATAAATCTGGTACCATTACAAAGACCCCATTTACTATTAAGATTTCTCAATAGCATGATGATTGCACCCACTTCAATTTTAATTTATGACAGGGCATTCCCGAAGGAGTAATACTACTAAGAAATTCGATGGGAACATTTTCCTTTTCAGCATCATCTGTGGAATCAATGGAATCATCACTCAAATATGTGTGAAAATCTCCATCGAATATATCCAAAATTTCTTCATTTAATTTTTGAACGTGCTCATTTTTTGGACAAAGAATTGCACGTTTAGATATACTTTTAATATTATCTATAGATATAGTATTTCCAAAGGTAGCTTCAATAATAGATCCATTACAAATCATTTCACAGGGGATTTCAATAATATCCATTCCTAAATGAAAACTGCTATCAAGTTTGCCATCTCCAAGTTTTACTAACCATTAACTATAAGCAGAATCCTCTGATCTCATATTTGTTGTAAGAGACAACTTTCTGAAACATTCCCAAACATTGCAGTACTTTAAACTTGTTTGTACTATGGCCGATCGCATAGCATGAGGTATAATACTGAGACATTGTCGAAAATCCCCTCCAAGAAGGAGAACTTTCCCACCAAATACAACATTCAAATTCATAATTTCTCTTAGTAATCTGTCTATGGCATTATAGCATGACTGCATGCCATGGTGCATTCATCAATAATGAGAAGTTGGGGCCTTTTTAATAGTTTTAGCAACTTTACTGTTTATATCGAGTCTAGAAATTGAAGTTTCATTTAATGGAATCGGTAATTTATATTGGGAATGAAAGGTGCTTCCACCGAGAAGTAAATTTGCAGCAATTCCTGTAGACGCTGTGGGTAAAAGAGTACTACCACGACCTCTAATATAATGTATTAAAACTTCATAAAGATATGCCTCCACGCTCCGAGGACCGGTTCCTGCCTCAAACCTCGCCCTCTCGGGAAACAGCTCGGGGAGGGCACAGCCATTTCCAAGACAACCCCTGCAGGACTGACTTCCTTCTGGTTGGTCGAGCCTTGGTCGTGACACTTTACACCCACGGTTTTTATATAAATAGATAATACTATTGTTACTCTGAATCGTAACACCTCTTTTGTATTCACTGAATCAAAGAGGGAAAGGTAGAAGGTAATTCTAGATAGAAAAAAAGGATTCAGCAAAGACAGGAACCAGGTAGTATTACTGTCTGTAACATGGGTAGGCACAAACATGGCTACCCAAAGATGTCCACATCTTAACTTCCAGAACCTGTTAATGTGTTACATTAGATCAATGGTTCTCAACCTGTGGGTCGCGAACCCTTTGGGGGTGGAACGACCCTTTCACAGGGGTCGCCTAAGACCATCGGAAAACACATATATAAGTACATATTGTTTTTGTGATTAATCACTATGCTTTAATTATGTTCAATGTGTAACAATGAAATTGGGGGTCACCACAATTGAGGAACTGTATTAAAGGGTCGCGGCATTAGGAAGGTTGAGAACCACTGCGTTAGATGGTAAAAGAAACTGCAGATATGATTAATGTTAAGAATCCAAGATGGGGAGATTATCCTGGGTTATCTGAGTGGATCAAATCTATAATCATGTAGCCTTAAAAGTGGAAGATTATGGAAAAACTGTGTCAGAAAAATGCAAACTGAGAAGGCCCTGATTGGCCATGTTGATTCTCAAGATGGAAGGAAATCCAAAGATCCTAGGAGGAAAGGCTGATTCAGGGCCTGGAGCACAGAAAGTGCAAGGTGAGTCAGAAAATAAAATTTTGCACCAAAAAATAAGAAAATACTGAAAGATTGATGAATAAATATTAAAAGAACACAAAACTTGCTTGATGATAAGTCATCTGGCCAAATCTAGAATTATCTATGCATCAAAATGATAGCCATGGATTATATAATCCATTGAATAAAATAAGAATCAATAATTCCATAATGAAATAAATAAAGTAAAAAGAAAAGGAGAAAGGAAGTTCTTTCCTGCAATAGTATGTCAACTAATGCATACAGAAGAAATGACGGAATTAGAGAATCAGCAATAGACTCTAAAATTAAAAGGTGAAAGTTCCATAAAGAACATAGTCTGAAGTATTTCCCCCCAAATTACTGACTAATCACAAAGAGTAAAATAATAGTAACTCTATGATATGACCTGACATACATCACCAATATTGGAGCAAACCAAAATTGTGTACTTTTTTTTTTAATCTTTTTATTTTTAATTTTATTTTTTAATTGTTTTATTGCTTAAAGTATTACAAAGAGTATTACATATGTCTCCTTTTTTCCCCCGCCCTTGACAATCCCCTGGCCTCCCCTCCCCCCCAGTGTCTTATGTCCATTGGTTATACATACAAGTCCTTCAGTTGATCTCTTACCCTCCCTTCCTGCACCCCAACCCTCCCCGGCCTTCCCGCTGTAGTTTGACAGTCTGTTCGAGGCTGCTCTGCCTCTGTATCTATTTTTGTTCATAAGTTTATAATGGTCTTTATTATCCATAAATGAGTGAGATCATGTGGTATTTTCCCTTCAATGACTGGCTTATTTCACTTAGCATAATGCTCTCCAGTTCCATCCATGCTGTTGCAAATGGTAAGAATTCCTTCTTTTTTACAGCAGCATAGTATTCCATCGTGTAGATGTACCACTGTTTTCTAATCCATTCATCTACTGATGGGCACTTAGGCTGTTTCGAGATCTTAGCTATGGTGAATTGTGCTGCTATGAACATAGGGGTGCATATATCCTTTCTGATTGGTGTTTCTGTTTTCTTGGGATATATTCCTAGAAGTGGGATCACGGGGTCAAATGATATCATGCATGGAAGATAAAGATCACATCGAAGGTACTTCTGTCAAAAAAAGCATTACCTAAATCTACTTATGAGAATACATATGACAAACTCAAATTGAGGGTCATTCTATAAATGTCCTATACTTCGAAAAAAAAATGTCAATACCAAGGAAGTTTTAAAAAGACTAAGGAATGGTTCCACATTAAAGGAGAATAAAGAGATATGACAACTAAATGCAAAGTGTGAACCTAGATTTAGTCCTGGAGTTGAGGAATATCAGCTATCAAGTACATTATGTGACAATTAACGAACTTTCAAGCATGGCTTATAGATTGATAATATTGAATCAATGTAAAATTGCCTGATTCTGATAACTGCACTGTAATTATGAAATAATATTCTTAGGAAATATGTACCAATGTATTAGAGGTAAAAAGGTCATAAAATTTCCAACTTTTTTCTCAAATGGTTCAGAAAATAATTATGTAATATGTAATCTATATGGTCTTTGTAATCACTCAACTTTTCTGTGTAAAATTATATCAAAATACAATGTTATTTAAAAATTTCCCATACTGTACATATTCCTAGTTCAGGTGCTACTGAGACTGCCTGTATTTTCACAAGTATTTCAATGCACTAGTAGATGTGGCCAATGACAAACAGGGTAACAACAACTGGCTTTCATCAAAATATTTTAATTTCTTGAAATGTTACAAGACCACAGCTATTATCAAGGATAATTTTCATCCATATTGCTTGTCAAAAGCAAAGATTCACTGGAGCAAGTCCTATAATTTTCCATGTTTGTGACTATGCTCATCCCCCACCTAAAATTCTCTTAACTTTCTCATTTTTCTGCAACTGCTCAAAAAACAATTCAAATGCTACCTCCTACCTAAAGTTTTCACTGGTCCTGCCAATAACTATGCCTTTCTTATGACATTTAGTGCTCCATAGTGATTACCTCACATTCTCATTTGCCCACCAAAGTGAGCCCTTAATAAGTAAGAATTACATGTATCCTACTTTATTGTAGCATCAACCACACTGTAGATACACATGAACAATGAATGAATGAAAAATAATTGGTAGTGCTCACAAAAATGTGACTTTTCAGTTTATAAAAACACACAAGCAATACATTTAAAATATTTTAAAAATTACTTTTTGTATTGAAAGTAAATTCATAAGATTTAAACATGAAAACAGAACACAATAGA